GACGTGGCATGTTCGTACGAACTCTTCATACGAACAAAAGTAAGAGAAATTTAGGATAAGAATACGAACATGTTCTTGCATGAGGCCCAATGAGAGCAGAGACTGAGAGCAACACACTTCTAAAGCTTGTGGACAGCCTTTCCAGAAGAGCTGAAGTTATTCTAGCTGCAAAGAGTGAACCAACGTCATATTGAACCCTATGGATTGGGAATGATGTCACTTAAGCTTATATGTGAGTCAAGGTAGTTGAGCCAATCCTTTTGGCAATATAGTGTATTTAGAAACATCCAGGAAAGAGCTGCTGTCTGAGGAAATCTGGAGTGGCAGAGAAGAATGTTAGACTAGAGCCGGTTATGTAAGGATAGCGGTGAGCTAGCTTCAAGGTGGAGGTGGGACTGAATCAAGAGCTGTCTCTCACTTCTTGGGCTGCATCCTCATGAGTTCACATTTGTCGGCAGCATACATCACTGCCCCACGCTGAGTGTTGCCCAAATTCGAAGGCCACTCCTCATGGGGCCGAAGAACACGGCCCATAAAATCTCAAAAATTAAGGATTCATCCATGGATCCTTCTTCCCGGCCAAGGATATCRCAGGATTCAATGTGCCGACAGCAAACTAAACAGAGAAACAAAAGACGGTGGAGTTTTTACCTTTTTTTTTTACCAAGTCAGCATATTTTGGAAATACATCACGGACTGAGTAATTTGTTTTTAATGTAGTTTAATATAAGTTTAGCAACTTAGCTGATAAAATTTATGCTGCAATAAGATGTTAAATAGAATTAAACTACATGTACTGGTGCTAAACCTAAATTATTAATGTTTTTATTATTATTTATGTGTAACATTTTAAACATGAAGGTATTCTACTGGATAAAAAGATGTGTGAATACACACCCCAACACATTTTAATTCTGATCTGAAACTGATCACTATGGTAGCAGGGTTGAGCATGGTCACGCAAACATACGTCAAGTCGACGTCAAGCAAAGGCTAGCTAGACCGTCTCATTTCACAGCAGCTTCATGCAGCCTACCCAGACTGGAAGGACGTGGCCTAGGTGGGCTATGTATTCAAGAGGATGCAGCTCATGAATTGAGACCCAGCCAAGGAAGCTGAGTGAAACCAACCCCTCCCAAACAATGAACCACAGAAAAAAAGGCAAATAGGCTGAGTGGTTAGTGCTTCGTTTGTGAGGATTTGTGCACTTGAAATTATTGTTTATGCTGCTACGGTTTTTTATATATTAAAGATTATTTGTAAGGGTCATTCAGGGGTCACCAGCCCACCCGCTTGCTCCAAAATGAACCAAAATTGAATCAAACTAGTCAAATTTTGTAGTGCTTTGTTTGAGCAGGTTTGTGCTGTTGAAACAATTGTTTGTGCTGCTATAATTTAGGATATATTACACGTTATAATTTCGGACGATCACGTGACTTGGCCTGAATTGTTTACGTCTGTGACAACGGATTTCACCACCCGCTGACTCTAACACATCCGTCACAAATGTTTGTACACAAACGCACAAACGAAGCACTAACCACTCAGCGTATTTGCCTTTTTTTCTGTGGTTCCTTTTTTGGGAAGGGTTGGTTTCACTCAGCTAGCCAAGGATCAGCACTGAGCCTCTTCCTGTTTGCTCTGGGGTGGGCAGGCAGACAGGTGATGAGGTCAGGTAGGAAACTGTGCAGACTGTGATGTTTGCAGATGACCTTGTGACTGCTGGTGAAAACACTGAGCAGGTGGAAGAGAAACTGGAGAGGTGGAGGTATGCAATTAAAAGAGATGAATGAAAGATAACTGCAATAAGACAGTGTCGTGTGAATGAAGGAGAGGCAGGTGGAACATTGAAGCTAAAAGGAGCAGAGGTCACACATGTTCAGGACTTAGGGTCAGAAAAACAGGGAGAGTGGTGAAGAGGTAAAGAACAGAGTCCAGGCAGGAGGGGGAAACATTTCAGAAGGGATTTGTGACAAAAAGCTTGCAGCTAAGGGAAGGTTTGCTAAACAGCATTGAGACCAGCTACAGTATGTTGTATAGTTTGGATAAAAAGACAGGAGACAGAAATAGAAGTGTCAGAGCTGAAGATGTTGAGGTTCTCTTTGGGAGTGAAAATGTTTGGATAAGGTTAGAAATGAGACCATCAAAGGTACAGCACAGGATGACTGACTGGGAGATAAAATTAGAGTGGCCAGACTGAGATGGTTTGGACATGTCCAGAGGAGAAGCAGTGGGCATGTATGTTCTAGAGATGCAGCTGCCAGGAAAATGACAAAGAGTAGACAGATGGATAGTTAGAAACAGAAGAAAATAGAAGAGGATGACTCGAGGCTTTTTCTGAAGACAATCCATATTGTTACCAATGTGTTCCGACTACTTTGGCCCATTCAGAAGACAGATTTGGAGTGGGGGGGACAGAGACACCCTCACCTGGTGTGTCTGTTAACCTTTGTGACAGAAAATATTCGCTGACTCCAGAAAAGATGGGCCGGCTAGTGCTGACTGACATTTGGGGCCCACCCAAACATNTAAGATACTTGTACTTTTACTCAAGTGTCACTTTGAGGTACTTTATACAACACTGGTTACCAGTCTTTAGAATGCAATGGGTTCTCCATTATGTGTGATAGGTGGTTCATGGTTTTGCACTAAAAAGAAAAAAAACACCCTTTTTGAGGTTGRGATGGTTGTTATCTATTGGTGGAGCACAGATGAGTGAGGTGGCTGTGGCAGGAAGGTATCCATGGCATGAGGCTTGTAAGGCTTGATGATCAAGACTGATCATTCAGGCTTCGTGTTTCGACTATCATCGTAATTGTGACATGGTCATAGACCACCTCTGATATATGGCAGTAGCTTTGCACTAGGGCGGCAAGATTTCCTAGCAGGAAGCTGAGTGGTCCCAAAGGTCATGCAGTGTACAGTAGTTTGGTGGTGCAGGAGAGCATCTAACGGGCTTAGAAATTGGCAGGAAATCTTACTAAGTGTCATGTAGTGGGATTGCAGCAATGTCACTGGTGTCTTTAGTCTTGCACCTCAGAAGAATGTGTCAAATGTGACGTTAACCAGCCAAGTTCTGATCACGGAGAGCGTAGTGGCATCATTATCCAGTGGCCAAAGACTTGGCTGAAGGAGTTTTTGTTTTACATGTATTTTTTTACATATTTTCTGTTTACAAGATTGGTAAATACACATTATAAGTGCTAATGCTCTGACATGTGTTTGTTTGTTGTTGTTTTCTTTGAGTATTTTCTGTTTTTTTATCTTCAGTCTTTTAATTTGATTTTTTTTAACAGTGCCAAGGGGTTTCTTCGAAGTTTGAGCTCAAAATAACGTGCCAAAAAGTAATTGAGCATGTTCACAAGAATTTACAAGCTCTACTTAAATAATACTTGTTTCAAAAAAAGCTTACACTTGGGATATTTCATCAGAAGTGTAAGTATTACAGCAACTGTTATTGTTTCAGAGATAGTGAGGATGGAGCAGAAAAGAAAGGTTTTTTTCCCCTCGCCTAATTTTTTTTCAGTAGACAGTATATAATCCTTTAAAAATATAATGAATTAGGCTAAAAACTCTTGGAACCCATATATCCACATGGGAATGTTACCTGTGCAAAGAATTGTGTTGCTAAAATAAACTGGAGCAAGGGTTTTAGTAAAGAAACATACTCAGCGCTTTTTTTTTATTGTGCACAGGATGAACCAGGTTGGTACCATCAATAAATATTAAGCAATCTTAAGGTTTTAATTGACTTATTTAGCTTTATTTATCTATCTTTATTTACATGCTTTGCCTGTAAATAAAATGGCTCCATCCGTGTTAAAATATATTTTTAAAAATTTACAAAACTAAACAGCCTACAGTATTTTTACAGTCTGTATTTTACTGTTAAATATATATGTTTATCAAATAAAGTTTAATGTTACAACTAATCMGGGATCCCTTTAACGTTTCCGTGAAGTGACAACACATTTTAGGTCAGCTGTAAACAAACACAACAGTTTATGATGGTAATTGGCACATTTGCTTTATTTTTGAAAACAGACATGGAAACCATTTTTATTTTTTTAACGTTTTTTTCACAAGTTTGAAATCCTTGATAAGGTTGAAACTGGACATTGCACTCACTGAAACATAGGAAAAGCAGTTCTTTTTTTCATTGGTTCATTGTTTGTTTTACTCYTTTGATTTATCTTTTCAGAATTATATTTTGTAACATCAGTGCAAGAGTATTTTTCCAATTTATATAAACCGTCATAACAACACCAAAGACATCAAAGAGAAGCCGCCACACCTCTGAAGTTTTTTGTGACTGCGACGAAGTTCCTCTCATAGGGAGAGTTCCCATCATGCATCTGGTTCGATGGTTCATGCTACTGTTCTCACGTTTGMATGGCAGAAAACAAATTAATATATGTCAGAGCCAGTTACATCAATACTAAACTTATTTTCTATAGATTATTATATGATTTGAAGGGCAACAGGTCCTTTATGTGTAAATGCAAGCTGACAGTTTGTAAAAGGGGCGTAAACCAAGCTTGAACAACTCAAGCACAATAGGAAGAGAAAAAGTTTTGTCGTTTTTCTGTTGTCTCTGAATTCGGCAAAGAATTGCCCAACTGGAAGTGTCACACATTTAAGCATACATTCTTTAATTCATCCAATGAATCAGTGCAGTTTTCGATGTGTTTCCAATACACTTGTCGTGTGTTGAAAACCGGGGTTCCACGTGAAAACTGGTGTGTTTTTTTGTGTGTGTGCAATTGCAGAACGGTTTTTCTTTGAAATGTGGCTTTACTGTGCAAAACGAAGTGGGGTGCATCGGCAATGCCTTTTAAACGTGTGAATGTTCCAGTTGAGAGCGGTCATGTCAACATTTACATTATAAATAGTGAAGATGTACCAAATAGCTTTCCAACATCGCCGTCATCATCGTCACCTTCTTCATCAAAGTAACAATCAATATTCATAACCATTAACAACACCAACATCATCCTAAACTTCCTCGTACTATTAGCTTGAGCCAAAAAACGTCACGCTGGAAACTCCCCCCTCCCACCCCACACATGAGAAAATCATTGCCACACAAAAAATGACAAACAAATAGAAACTGACTGCCTTCACATTGAGAAGGCAAAAGAGCAACCTTTTTAGATTTTTGTTTGTGTTATTCTTCTTTTTGTTTTTCTTCTTCTTGATTCTGCTTTCAAGTGGTTCGACTTCTTCCTTAGTCGTCCATGGACTCAGAGGGCTCCGCCAGCCCATCTGCTGGGGCGGCCTCCTCTGCTTTCAACTCCTCTGCAGCATCTGTGTGGAGGGAGGGAAGATGGGTGGAGGGGATTAGGAAAGTGAGGCAAAGACCGGTAGAAAACTAAATCAAAACAGAAACTTGGGTTGGAAGTGAAGGAAGATTTAACGCGGTAACGATAAAATCCAACGTGATACATTGTGTGATACTACGCGTCATAATTAAAACAAGAACACATTCCGGCATGCCGAAGATCATCTTCTTTTGGTGTTTTAAAAATATTCAAACCCCTGTAACTCACTCAACGGAAAAGAAAATTCTAAAAAATTTAGAGAAAGCAGCGAAGTTCCCTGTAGTTCTCGAGATGTCAGCTCCGCTAACACTGAGAGCATGCCATCCCGAAGATGCAGCCCGATGTTGAAAACCCTACACCGGCTGTGTAAATAATGAAGAAGAAGAGTGCTCCTAATGGACCCGTGAAGCCTTTGAACTGACGTGACAAAGCTAACAGCAGCATCTTGGCCTGCCACATCCAATACTGTGTGATGCCCACAGTGGGTTACGCTTCACTAACATCTAGAGATGGCTTACATGGAGATGACTGCAGCTCACCAGGAAGCTATGATACATTACAAAGTTTTTCTTAGATTAATGTTAATTTGGTGCTTTKGATTTTTAACAATCATWTTTTTTATCTCAYRTCTAWACTGGAAAACTCKAATTTTTACCAGATTAATCAGTCTTTTATTGTCTCASACAAAGACTATTATAGAAGTGCTCTCAGCTCAGTGATGTCACACCYGGGTGATCTCATACTTTTTTAATGGGGGGAGCACACATCAGAGAATGACATCATTGCATCTGAGACCAAGGAGGTGATGGAGTTCATGTGTGTGTGTGTGACACAAGACGGCATGAGTCATAGCAGATCCTCCAGGTAAGAGGTAATTAGCTCGTTAGCTTGTGTGATAGATACTACAATGTCTTTCTCCATGGCTGCTGTAACGGTGCGGAGCAAATACAATTTCCSTCAGTTGTCTGAGCCAACGCCTGTTGTCTCCACTGCTCTGGCCTCAGTCAAACTTTATCCACAGTCGGGTCAGAACTGACTGACGCGTCAGTGAAAACAGCCGACATAGGAATGTTCAGTGTACAGGAATGTGTCATGGAATAAACCATCAATGGACTCAAATTGTTTATGTCTGAATTTAAAGCAATTTGTCAAATACAAATGACAATAGTTTTCAAATCCTAATAAAATATCACAACTTTCATTTTTGCTTCTATGTAGATGACATCCAACTCTACGTAGAAGCAACTTTTTTTGCATTCTCTTTACTCCCTCTGGAGTTATACCACTGAAAGCACAGGTTACGGTTAAAACTCTGGACCTGAAAATARAGACATCCCTGATCAAAATGCTATGACACTATGTTGTAAAAAACATGTAAGTTACCAGCAGGGTTGTAATGTAACTAAGTGCAAATACTTTGATACTGTACTTAAGTAGAATTTTTGGGTATCTGTACTTTACTTGGGTACTTATTTTTCAGCATACTTTTTACTTTTACTTATTACATTTTTACACAATTATCTGTACTTTCTACTCACTACATTTTTTAAAAAGGTAAGAAGAATGAAGTTGTTACTCCTATTTTATTCTGAGTTGTTATTACTTAAAAAAATACTGTCCTGATAAATTGTGTCTCCTGGATAGGGTTGGGCATAATCGTATCGTGTGCGATTAATCGTCAGAAAAACATTAATCGATTACTTTTTGGCACTTGACGATTAATACAATTAATGGCACCAGGCAGACTGACTGGGGATTACTCCGTTTAGTCTGCTCGATGCTCTTCTGTGTTTCAAGTATAACAAACATTAAAAATAAAGTTATGTAAT